GGTGGTATTTATTCACCGCTGGGAATTTTATTTTTTTTGCTATGTAAATGAAAAAGTCCAAAAATTTTGAAAAAAAATTGTTTTTTTTTATAAAATTTGCAAATAAATAATATTTTTATCATAAATCTTTGCCAATATTTATTCCGTTATATTTTTAGTTAAAAAAAAAATCCAAATTAGCTTATAACCAAAAATTATAATTTTTAAACATTTTTCTTTACATTTTTATTTTATTTTTTTATATTATTATTTTTTATTTATATTTTATTTTTTTACATACTGTCACCCTAGCAGTACAGTGTCACCATGGTGACACTGTACTACTTGTGGGGGGTGATGAAGATTTTTTTTTTTTTTACACTGATTGCTTTTACACCCATAAAGGATGTAAAAGCAATAATTTCTCTTTCTCTCTGTCTGCATTCTTGCACTCATTGAGAAGTACTGAGTGAGCTGTGATTGGTCAAAGCTTGTCACATGATACAAGGCTGTTGTGAATAGCCTTGTACCATGTGACCTCTGTGATCATTCACAGATTTCACACGTAGTAAGCAATGATGTCACAAGTGACATCTTGCTTACTACTTTGCATGTGATCACTGATTGGTCAATCAGTGATCACATGATCGGGACCTCGTACAGAGGTCCCGTCCTACGATCAGTGTTTCACTGTGTCCGGAGGACACAGCGGGCACTGGATCGCGGTGCTGCGCGCTCCGAGGGAGCACGCACAAGCAGGGTGCGGGGAGGCCGTTTATAAACATCCACCTGAACCTGCAGTGCCACCGTCCGGCCGTTTATATGCAACGGCCGGTCGGGAAGTTTTAATAACGCCTGTCTTGCTTTTATTTTTTATCCGTGGCCCATTGGGGAGATTTACCATCACTTCCTGTCCTATAGCCAAAATAGGAAATCGCTGGAAAGAAAGGGACTAACTGGTTGTCACCAGAAGTAGGGTTCCTACTGGAAGATTTCCCTTCTATTCCTGTTCTGGTGACAGCCCAAAATTTGGGATTTTCTTTCACTTTCACTCTCGGTAATAGTGGTAAACAGGACAACAACAAACAGAAAATTGATGTTGCACTAATCACAATATTGCAGGGGCGGACTGACAACTCATGGGGCCCCCGGGCAATAGGGGATCATGGGGCCCCTGTGTCCTTGCCCACACTCAAAGCACACCCAAAAAAGCCTATAAAAAAGGTACCAGGGGCATTTCATGGGGCCCCCTACTGACCCCGGGCCCTCGGGCAGTGCCCGAGTGCTCCAATGGTCAGTCCGCCCCTGTGCCACAGACAAATAGTGAGATGAGAAGACAATAGATAATACACAATAACATAATCAGTAAATGGAAGGAATATGGGAGTGAAGGGAAAGGTGAAATAATAAAGGTCCAAAATGAGGACCAAAAGGTGTAACAGACAATAAACCGTGACCGTGGGCAAAACGCACGGAAATGATCAGGGAAAAATAAAATATTAACTAAATCACAGTAATAGTGGGACATTAGAGTCCGTTATAACATAAATGAAATAACGTGAATACAACTGATGAGAAAGTGGAGCAGAATGTGAAAAATACAAAATGAAGTGCTTAAATATTAAAAGTGGACAAACCACTTATCACAGAAGAATGACAATAACAACGCACAGTGAGGCCAAAAAATGTGACCATGCGACTAAAGGATCATAACACAATATGCATCAAAAGACCATGTGACATAAAACGACTAATAAGTGACCATATACAGTATATATACCATAAATAAATGTGGCAAACATATAGAGTGCAACTAGTATAATATAGAAAATGGTGATACACAAACGCAAAGTGAAACCAAATGAATGTATTACTGTGCAACGTAAAATACAAGAACATAATGCAGAAATAAATAACGTGACTAAAAAAAATAGCATAAATGCGACATAAAGTCCATGTGCAAAAGAGTCCAACAAAAACGCATCCAAAAAAACACTCAACAACGTGGATAAGTAAATGATTAGTGAATCCCACACCAGCTAAAATGCCTCCTCACCTCCGTGCCCAGACCCCAAGGGGCCAAAAGGCTTTCAGGACACTCACTGCTGGGGTCCTTTAACCTCCTCGGCGGTCTGATAATTTCCGATTTTTTGTGCTGAAAGCGGTACCATTTTTTTGCATGGAAATATGTAGTTTTTTATTGTAGGCTGTAATTTTTAGGAATAACTCACTGAAATCTGTACGAACAAGAGTCTAGTAAACATTCCGGATATGATAAAATTTGAAACACAAAATCATAAATTATAATTTAATAAATAATCAAAAAAATAATAATATAATAATAATAAATTTAATTCAATAATATAATCAAACCAAAAACACTGAAATTTGAAATACAGAGGCAAATTCGCACATCGCTGAGCAAAGTCGCAAAATCGTTTTCAGTGTCTGATGACGCATTTCCCCACGAATCATTATCACTCAATTCTGCAAGTGGTTCTGATTTACTATCGCTGTTCTCTAGCTGGTCTAAAACCGATTTTGACGTAAAGGGACGCTTTTTGGACACCATGGACTTTTCTAAGTTTCCAGGCAGAAAGAACAGTCAAAATGCAGGCAGGGCACAGGACAAAGCACTCGGGACAAAATGTATGTGAAATGCATTGAAACAGCAATGCTTTACTATGTAATAATCATTTTTTAAAAAATGACATTTTTTAAAAATTTCAAATTTGCCGCCGGTTCCGGAGCACATACATCCCGACGTCACAGGGACCGGAACACAGAAGCCGGATGCCAGCATCGGCCGGAGGAGATGGCCGGGGACGCTGCAGGGGACACATCATGGGAGCGAAGGACAAAGTAAGTGCTGCAGAGACTACCTGAGCAACGCCGCATGGTAAGCCCGAGTGTAGCTCAGGGTTACCACTCTTGGTACTCAAATTTTACACCGAGCTACACTCGGGAATACCGCTAAGGAGGTTAAGTGGAATCCCAAACGGTGATGTAGGGATGATATCCCCCTCACTGGTGGACCATACTGTTCAGTGGTGGTAATATATCTTTCACCTTTGGACATGGAAATCAGCCAATGCACAGAACTCCTGCCAGGGGTCCTGTGGACCAGAAAAAACAGCCAGCTCACAGCACTCCCAGCGAGACTAGAAAAAGTGCTTCCATAGTGTAATATTGTAAATGAATCAAATTTATTGTAAAGACAAATGCGCACTTACAGTACATGGGAACAGGTCAACAAAGCATCAATCACATGTGTTAATATGGGTGCAGGGTGTACCAATATTACTTACTTCGGCCGTTCGTGTTGGAAATGACGTCACCACATTCCGCTCTCCAACCTACGCGTTACATCACTGTCACATGACTTAATCCCACTTCACTTGACACTTGAGTCAAAATAAAAAGAAAGTTTTGCCATTAGTAATATTTTAAAGTGTAACTGAGTGCCGGTCACACTGATGCGGTATGGGATTCACAGTAAATTCTGTGAGCTTTCCGCACCGTATCACAATCGCACTCCGTTTATGCAAACCACTGCAGGTGTCTATGTTAAGTTACCAACACCCCAAAAAATGGTTTGCAGAACTTGGTTTGCGATTGGCTGAATCGGATGTGAACACTCATGCGATCCAACTCAAGTGCAAAAAAAAAAAAAAGGTGTATGGACCTTTCCTGTGGGTGAGGAGTGATTTGCAGTGCGATTTGAGCAATACAAAATGAATAACTCAAATTGCACTGCAAAGAATGGCATGTGATTTGAACAGGATTGTGGCGCGATTACTGTCTGAATCACATGCGGATTCCTGCACTGCAATAGTGCGAACCGGCACTAAAGGCAAAACCTTTTTTTTTTCATTGTGGAAAAGGAGGGTGTAAACACCTCAATCTTTTTGACATCTGTGTCCCATGCCTGGATGAGAATCTAAGGTCAACAACTCTTTTTACCCCCTCGCAGGGCACAGCAGTGCCACATTATATACAGTAAATATATATATAGGCGTACCTCGGTTTAGGAATTTAATGCGTTCTCCAAGACATTTCTTAAGTTGTAAACCGAAACGCGTAAACCAAAAATTCGTAAACTGAAATGCGGTTTCCTATAGGAATGCATTGAAAACCAATTAATCTGTTCCGGAGCTCAGAAAAAAGTAAAAAAAAAGTCTTTTATCTGTTCAAAAACTCTAATAAGTGCACTTTAAAGGCATAAATACAGCACAGGGGCTTGATTAAAAATTAATTCTTAAATGCATTGAAAACCAATGAATCTGTTCCAAAGGTCAGAAAAAGTAAAAAAAAAGTCTTATTGTCAGGAATCAAGGAGTGACCAGAAAGGTGTGGACTGACACAGGGAAACGCAGGTAATATAATACAGTTTATTATTAGCCACCCAGATATATATCTATATAAACGCCAGTGAACAAACCAACCTTCCACTAATCTTTAGGAGGTGCAGGAACACAGGCGTAGTCAGGGCTGGAGAGGTGGAACGGTCAGGCCGGCCGTAGGGTTCTGTAATGACCGTTTGGTGGTACCTCTAGCGGTCCTCAGGGCAGGATTCCCCAGGGCGCGGAGTCTAAGCCCCAGTCTGCCTTTTCACCAGAGCCCCTGATGGTGGGGATGGACTTGGCGCAGGACTGAGACCAGGTCGCGGCCCCTGAGTACACCTGCTAGTGGTAGAGGGATCCGCCAGAGGTATGTGCAGGTACGGCTGGATCCGTGCAGGATGGATGGATGGCAGAGTAGTTAGCGTGGTCAGACAAGCCGGGTCGGTAACGGTGGAGGCAGATCAGTACAGAGCAGCAGGCAAAGAGTAAACGGGTCACAAGCCAAGGTACAGCAACAGGAGGTCAAACAGCATAGGAGTAGGCAGAAGAATAGTCAGGGATGAGCCAGTAGTCAGAACAGGAGACGGTCAACAGAGATCAGGATCAAGCCGGGTCAGCAACGAAGCAGGAACACAGGGTACAGAGGCTCATGGGAAAACATACACCAAGGCCCAGAGCACAGGCCTGGTCATGCCTTATATACACCTTTCTACAATCAGCCCCAGGTTTGGCTGATTGTGAGCTTCTGGCTGCTAAGAGCACCCGCTGGTCAGCTCTGGTACTGCAGCCCACACGGCAGGTGAGTCCCACCACCAGTGCTGAGTCCATTGCTGAGAGCACCCGCTGGTCAGCTCTGGTACTGCAGCCCACACGGCAGGTGAGTTCCACCACCAGTGCTGAGAGCACCCGCTGGTCAGCTCTGGTACTGCAGCCCACACGGCAGGCGAGTCCCACCACCAGTGCTGAGTCCATTCCTGACACTTATCTGTTCAAAACTCTTTATAAAGTGCACTTTAAAGGCACGGGGCTGGTGCTATAAACCTCCCAGGCACAATGCATTCTGGGGAAACTTACTTTGCATTGCAAAAAAAATTTGTAAACCGAGGTATAATTTTCAATGGATTTTCATTCGTAAACAGAAAATTACGTTGACCAAGGCATTCGTAAACTGAGGTACGCCTGTATGTATATATCTATATATAGGACAAAAGTATTGGGACGCCGGCCTTTACACGCACATGAACTTTAATGGCATCCCAGTCAGTTGTAGTGTGCTGCGGTGGCAGTAAAGACACAGAGTAACTGCAGGTAAATTCAGAACTTGTATTGCAGAGAATGGCAACTACAAACAACCCAAGCTGTCCAGACAAAGTAGCAGTTAGACAGTTGAGGTAAACCATTTGCCACTGACGGGAGCTTATATGATCAGCTTTTATGTATATATGTAAAATCCGGATCCCAAAGGGGACAAAATTGTTTGCTGTAGCTGCTTCTAAAGTGTTTACTGGAGTTCAGCATCAGTTTGTTACAGGGGCGGACTGACAACTCATGGGGCCCCCGGGCAATAGGGGATCATGGGCTCCTGTGTCCTTGCCCAAACTCAAAAAAGCCTATGAAAAAGGTACCAGGGGCATCTCATGGGGCCCCCTACTGACCCCGGGCCCTCGGGCAGTGCCTGAATTTCCAAATGGTCAGTCCGCCCCTTATTCAAATTCACCTAAATCTGCTAGTCTAAAGACAGCCATACCTAGGTCGAATTTCAAAACAATTTTCTTTCGAAAATATTTTCTAAGAATTTTCGTTCTAATTCGGCACCGTTAGTGTGCCACAGAAACGTCCGATTTTCGAGTGACCAAGTGATCGGGCATGTAAAAATTTTTAGAAAAATGAACAAATTTCTAAGCAATGATGGGAGAATCGTGCCAGAAATGTAATTGAAAAAGAAATGAGCATGAGCTATGAGCTGGAAAGAAAAAAAAATTAAAGGCTTGGTTGGTTGAATTTTGAAATCATTGGTGGCACCATCAGATTACAGCACGCATGAAATTTACGATTTTCTAAAGAAAATTTGTTCGAAATTCGACCCATGTATGGCCTGCATTACTATACCTTCCTCCCAGACTGAGAATACTGTTGTCCAAAAGTGTCTGCTTTACTAATTCTTCCACATTACAGACACCCTAAAGCATGAAGTGATGTATGTTACAGGCAGGATCACCAGGTGAAATAAAGGAAAAAATATATAAAAAAAAAAAAGAAAACAAATGGAGCCATCACATCTAATGATTGATAGGCTACAATATATTATATTTTCGTTTTTGCGCTTAATACCACTTATTGCTGCTGCCAGACTCATCCATCTTACTAACCATTCTGTATCAGCCACCCCTCTCTGCCAATCCCTCCACTGGCTTTCACTCAGTGTCCTTCACCCCTCTCTGCCAATCCCTCTACTGGCCTCCACTCAGTGTCCTCCACCCCTCTCTGCCAATCCCTCCACTGGCCTCCACTCAGTGTCCTTCACCCCTCTCTGCTAATCCCTCCACTGGCCTCCACTCAGTGTCCTTCACCCCTCTCTGCCAATCCCTCCACTGGCCTCCACTCAGTGTTCTCCACCCCTCTCTGCCAATCCTTCCACTGGCCTCCACTCAGTGTCCTCCACCCCTCTCTGCCAATCCCTCCACTGGCCTCCACTCAGTGTCCTCCACCCCTCTCTGCCAATCCCTCCACTGGCCTCCACTCAGTGTCCTCCATCCCTCTCTGCCAATCCCTCCACTGGATTCCGATTGCCCAACGGATAAAATTCAAAACATTAACACTGATGTATAAAGCCATTTATAGCTCTGCCCCAAATGACATCACCAATCTTGTCTCTAAATATCACCCAAACCGTACTCACCGCTCCTCGCAAGACCTCCTACTCTCTAGCTCCCTTGTCTCCTCCTCCCATGCTCGTCTCCAGGACTTTTCCAGAGCTTCCCCCATCCTCTGGAACTCTCTACCCCAATTTATCAGACTATCGCCCACTCTGCTCCCTTTTAGGCGATCTCTGAAAACCTATCTCTTCAGGGAAGCCTATCCTGCCCTCAGCTAATAATGGAAACTTCTACTCTTCCAACCAGTCCATCCCCCACAGTTACTACCTTTTGTACCACTAGCCCCTCCCTCCTAGATTGTAAGCTCCAAGGAGCAGGGCCCTTAAATCCCTCTTGTATTGAACTGTTTTGTTGCTGTATTGTCTCCCGTTATATTGCAAACTGTTGGCGCTATATAAATCCTGTATAATAATAATAATAATAATTGCTTATTACTTATCTCCTCCATTGGGGCAGGTTTCCTGATGATGGCAACAATTGACCATGTTCATGCACTGGTCACTTCTAATCTTGATTAGGAGAAAATGTGACAAGGTTGACAATTCAGGGGAACAAGTGGGAGAGACCATTCTTATCTTATAACAGGAAGTCCCCGAACAAAGAATTTCATGGCAGGGTCTGTATTGGGTGACAATGCAGGAGCACAAGTGGGAGACAGGGAAAGCACTTTGTAAATGGAAAGTGCATGAAAAAGGAACATGGCAGGATTTCCATGTATTATTTAAAAAAAAAAAGCTGCAGGTTAAAAAAAATGTAATATTAGTTTTGTAATTACTTTAACATATTAAAACTTATTTGAGATTCTAATGATTGGGAACATACCTGTTGCTACAACAGGTGATGCTTAATATCAGTCTCCAAAATACCTTGAATCCTACAGCCTAAAAAAAATGTATCCAATGGGAACACAGACAGCAATAAAAATCTGACAGAGAATATACAGTTTTTCTGTTCTGTCCAAAGGAAAACAAATTGGAGTTTAATGTTTTTATAAGGTGTACAGGTCTTCCTGACAGCTCTGTCTTAACAGCAGTCCATCTATTCTTCCCATACTGGATGTATGCACGATTCACACAGGCAGTTAACACTCACTTTAAGAGATGGTAAAACAATCCGTGCTAAAGTTTAGACTTTTAGAGATGTTGCTGGCCAAAAATTGAAATGAGACACAACCTTTTTTTCCCCAAATAGTGCATTCAAAAAGTAAAAGTAGACATGGACAAATTACTTAATACCTAATCATTCTCTCACTTAAAGATATATATACAGTTGCAAGAAAAAGTATGTGAACCCCTGGGGATTACGTGGAGTTTTGCATGAATTGGACATAAAATGTGCTCTGAACATCATCTAAATCACAACAATAGAAGAACACAGTCTGCTGAACATAATACTACACAAATATTAGATGTTGCCATGGTTTAATTGCACATAACATGTAAACATTCACAGTGCAGGGAGGAAAAAGTATGTGAACCTTTGGACTTAATAACTGGTTGACCCTCCTTTGGCAGCAATAACCTCAACCAAACGTTTCCTGTAGTTGCAGATCAGACCTGCACAACGATCTGGAGTAATTTTGGACCACTCCTCTTGCTTTGCTATGCTTTGGGTCATTGTCCTGTTGCATCACCCATCCTCTGCGGAGCTTCAGTTGGCGGACAGATGGTCGTACGTTTTCCTGCAAAATGTCTTCATAAACTCTGGAATTCATTTTCCCATCAATGACAACAATCCGTCCAGGCCCTGAGGCAGCAAAGCAGCCCCAAACCATGATGCTCCCTCCGCCATGTTTTACAGTGGGGATGAGGTTTTGATGTTGGTGTGCTGTGCCTTTTTTTCTCCACACATAGTATTGTGTGTTCTTCCCAAACAACTCAATCTTGGTTTCATCTGTCCACAGTATATTTTGCCAGTAGTGCTGTGGAACATCCAGGTGCTCTTTTGCAAACTTCAAACGTGCTGCAATATTCTTTTTGGACAGCAATGGCTTCCTCCGTGGTGTCCTCCCATGTACTCCATTCTTGTTTAATGTTTTCCTTATTGTAGATGTGTCAACAAAAATGTTAGCATGTGCCAGAGATTTCTGTAGGTCTTTAGCTGACACTCTGGGATTCTTCTTTACCTCATCAGCATTCTGCGCTGTGCTCTTGCAGTCATTTTTACAGGATGACCACGCCTAGGAGAGTAGCAACAGTGCTAAACTTTCTCCATTTGTAGACAGTCTGTCTTACCATGGACACATGAACATCAAGGCTTTTGGAGATACTTTTGTAACCCTTTCCAGCTTCATGCAAGTCAACAATTCTTGATCGTAGGTCTTCTGAGAGCTCTTTTCTGTGAGGCATAGTTCACATCAGACAGTGCTTCTTTAAACCAGTAAACTCAAAACAGGTGTGTGTTTTTTTTAAGGGCAGGACAGCTGTCAGCAACACATCCAATATCATCACACTGATTGGAGTCAAGGTTGGCTCACTCCTGGCTCCAATTAGCTCTGGGAGAAGTCATTAAGCTAGGGCCTCACATACTTTTTCCTCCCTGCACTGTGAATGTTTACATGTTATGTGCAATTAAACCATGGCAACATCTAATGTTTGTGTAGTATTATGTTCAGCAGACTGTGTTCTTCTATTGTTGTGACTTAGATGACGTTCAGAGCACATTTTATGCCCAATTCATGCAAAACTCCACGTAATCCCAAGGGGTTCACATACTTTTTCTTGCAACTGTATATATATATATTTTTTAAATTATTCTTTACTTTTCAAGCTTTAAGGTATTTATATGTATATATATATATATATATATATATAAACCTTAAAGCTTGAAAAGTAAAAAATAATTTAAAAAAATTACCTAAAAAGGCTTTTAGAGATGTTGATGGCCAACATTTGGAATGGGACACAACCTTTTTTTTTTTCAAATTTTTCAAAAACTAAAAGCAGACATGGACAAATAATGTATTAACTAATTATGCTCCACAAAAAGTCATGTTAAAGCTTAAAACATACAAAAAAAAAATCACCTAAGAGGTTTTTAGAGCTGTTACTGGCCAAAGTTTGGTATGGAACACAATCGTTTTTTTAAAAAATAATGCTTTCAAAATCTAAATGTAGACATGGACAAATACCTTATTAATTAAACAAAAATTATAACACAATGCTTTACTTTGTATTCCTTTTAATGCAGTTTTCAATTTCTATACATTCCTTCAACTGCCGTGCAGTGCTTTAGAATGTAGGGTACAATGTTTTTGTAAGAAAAAAAAGCTTTTTCTCC